CACAGAGGATGTAAATTTTCTCTTTCAGTTAACAATATGGTCCACGACACTCCTCAGCTGTGGTTTAAACACCTGCTCAAGTCACCCAGACCATCAGAGCTGCCAGACGTAGCCTGGTTTTTTGTGGCCAGAGGCTGAGTATTCTCTGCTGGCACTGGCTAATGAACTGATGAGACTCCAGCGCTAAGGAGCAGGAGATACAGTGACAGAGACGTAGGGGCCCACCGTTAGTTACCTGTAATAGCCCGGGATGACGATGTGCACCCCAGCACTGGGCTGACAGATGTCGGGGTTCTTCTGATCATCCATTTTCCGCAGCGCGTCCGTAAAAGGTCCCGTGGCATTGATAACACATTTGGCTCTGACATCAAATTCCTGCCCTATGAAAGAAAACAGCATCAATCACCAGGGGCTATTCATCTGTGGCTTGTGACAAGCCGGATTATTAATTTATCAGCGAACGCCCCCCTCTCTCTGTAATAGAGTGGCTCGAGTGTGTCCATGGGAGACTTCCCAGGATTGTAATTAATAGGAAACAGACATACCTAATTTCCCTCTTGCTTCTTTGTGTCACAGAGTAGCTCGGTGGCAGTGACTGAGGGATCCTTTTCAAATTGTGGAAGGGAAATGTTTGTTAATGTGATGCTTGATATTGACGAGCTACAGTATATAATGGGACGAATATCCAAAGATACCATGAGGACGGCAAATGATCTGTTTTGAAAACAAGGTGAATGACGGACTACCCTTTCTAATTTGACATGTGATGCCGTTACTTCTGAGAGAGAGAGAGGGGAGAAATGGAATGATGTGGCTCGAAACCCTGAAATTCAGTTTTTTTCTTGAAGAGGAAGTGGGGGAAAAAAGACTAAGAAAAAAGAAATGATGTCAAAACTGTTTCTATTATCCTTTCAGTCTAAGCCCTCCCCATGTGAGGCCCTCCTCTCACATTATTAAAGTGAGACATCTCCTCCAGGAGCACACTTCATTCTTTTAAAACATCAGGGGGTGGTCATGTGTTGAGACCCTCAAATCTCGGTTATTCATGAAATCTTTCAGAATTCCATCTTTTACCCTTAACTGCTTTATTCTTCCAAAGCCGGCCCTACGCATGACATTTAAAAGGTAAGTAAGGCCATTTGGAGTACGCTAATTTCGTCTTATGTTCCTTCCTACAAGATCTGAAGCAGTCCTCTACACCATAAAACTCTTATAAAATATTAAAAGCTGCTGCATTAGATGTGCAATGACTATGTGCAAACTAGCAGTGAGTAAGAGGCGCTGGGAAGGCCCCTGTTGTGACGGCTGGAAAGAGTGGGAATGGAGTGAGGCAGGAAGGGAGGAAGTGGCTTTTGTTGGATTTACCTGTGATCACATCCCCGCAGTGAGCTCGGCAGACCCTCTCCTTCCCCGTCTGAGGGTCTGCCCTCTGCAGTAGGTGCACCACTCCAGTGTAATTGGCTATGGCAGCCCCATACCTGGCAGCAGTGAGGGCGATGGCGAGGTTCATTCGAGCATCGTTGTGTTGTCCTGCAGCGGGGGGACAGGACCAGAGCAGGGGGATGTGAGTCACCCCAAGCCTGTGACTGGTGGTATGGAAGTGTGTCGGAACCGATATGTCACATCTGTCCCTGTCACTTTGCATCAGTGCGATGGCTGCTCCGGCCACACGAGGAGCACACTTAAAGCCACAGTGGCCCTTTGGCCTGAGTGTGGGCCCCACGACCACCCCGCCCCTCCCCACTCCTGCAGTGGGAAGGAGAGCAGGTCCTCGGAAAAAGGAAGGGAATGTGGGGATAAGGAGCAGATGCATCAACGGCTTAAATATACCAGGAGCTGACTGACGGAGACAGTTTTTATTTTTGCTCTTATGTGTAACACGTTATACTTATTTCTGCTCAGTTAGCATTACTGTATATTTTTTTCATTTTTTGTATGGCTTTTAACCTACTTGTACACATAACAAATTTGTACACATACAAAGGTAAACAATATGAATAATAGTAAAAACACGCTACATTCTTTAGTCACTGGAAACCAAAACTTCCTCTGGATAATCACATTTCTCCGTTTGTCAATGTGACAGTAAATAGCTCTCGACAGCAGCTCATCTGCTCTTTTTTTTCCAGCCGAAGATCCTTCTGGCAGAATCCCTCTTAATGAACAGAGAAATCTAGTATCAAGATTTATGGATTAATCCCTCTTCAGCTCTAAAATACCAAAGATCTATATTCAGAGTCACAAGGTCACAAGTTTTGTAATTTAAATGAAAGGGTCTAAAAGGTGACAAATGAACAAAGCCGGGTTTCATTAGGAAGTGATTCTTATGTACATCTTTGAAGATTTATTGCCGGACAATCCCTTGGTTCAAAAGTAAAGAGAGAATAGAGATGATTAATCACTTTTAATGTTGGTGTCTCGGGTGACTTTCTTTCTATTTGTTATTGCCAGGGAAGTTCAAGTCCTCATTGTTGGCCGGGGAAAATGTTGCTACTTTGCAGGAATGAGCAGGGTCCTTTGTGCCCTGATTTATTTTACGTTTGAGCGACTTGAGGCTAGCTAGCTGGTGGGCTCTGCTTAATGCTACGGCATGCTTCAAGCCATTCCCCCCAACACGGGAAAATAAATAAATAAGTTGAGAGCGAAAAGTAAAAAAAGAAAACAAGAAAACAACAGATTTAAAGGCCACATTTTAGAATGAATTACATACAAGAGCATGCACCCTGCCATGATGTATTAGGAAGACCATGGAATCCACTTCTTCATCTCTGTTGGGTGAATGTGACCATTATAGTGTATGGGCAGCAAACTTATGCCACCGGTGGTGCGTGCACATGCATACACACACACATGCACGCACACACACACAGGGTTGAGAGGGGCTAGGCACCAGTAGGCAGTGTCTGATCCTCTGTGATTGCTGAGCCTCCTGACGACCTTTGACCCCGTGATTCACAGCTCTCTGTTGTGAGCCTGTCACAGATTGGCACCGGGCAAAGAACAGGAGCATTAATACTACATTAAATGTCAGGAATTCAAGGATTAGTCAGATCACGGTGCGCAGGATTTATGAATGGGCGGCATAGCGCAGCTATAATAACCTGACACACTGATGAAGATAACAATAATGATGATGATAATTATCATCAGCAATTAAAAAGCCAAAATGGCCGAATGACAGACCAAAGCTAAATGAGCATCAGAGCTCCCTGGAGGAATGGGAGCCCCCCCAACACCACCCCCTCTCTCTGCCACCGCCACCACCCCCCTCCCCCCTCCCCCCTCCCTGGCTCCCTCCCATCCAGCCCCTACCACCTCTCGGCTCACACATACCACTCGTCCCAGCCTCCTGGAGGTACGAAACTCAGTGGAGTGAGAGGAACTCTGCGGCCGGACAAAATGCTGCAAAATGACAGGGACAATAATGACAATGAATTTCATGTCTCCCAGTCATGGAGCCAGCGATGCTTGGCTGGGCTGACTCGTCCAATTAAATTGTTACAGGTACAGCGGGAGATGGAGTTATTATCCCAGATGCTTTCGTCAATTACTCCTCCAGCAAAAAAGATGATTGGGTACATGAGCGGTACATAAAGACGCAGCAACATGCAATATTTCCTTAAAAGTAGAAAAAGTTTAAATGCAGTGCAAAACTACAATAACAATCTAGTTCTGTATATTTACAACATTTATAACTGTACAGAGTAAAATATGAATATTAAAAAAAATCCCCTTTATGAGAACATTGGTCTGTGCGATTTACGTGTACAGGGCGTTACAACCTGTTTGCCATTTCTTACTAAATTATATGTTTGCAAAGACTACATTTTCTAAGGCTAAAGGATGTCTACATCTTGAAACTATCTGACCGTGATGGCTTGAAAAATCCTGAGGAGATGAACCCGAGCAGTCAAAGCCCGATCCCCAGTAAAGAAGGTCAGGACAGAAAATGTCACTGCCATAATGTACCCAGTTGCGTACAGGAAAAAGGGTGGAAAAGACAGCTTGAGGTAATATTAAATACGTGTAAGTGGTCTAATGCTTTTATTGTTTCATTCCTTTGTTCTTTCTACACTAATTAGGATAAATTTCATCATTTTACAATCAAACAAAAAAATTCTAAAGCTTTGTGGGTTTTTTCCAGATATTTCTGGTTTGTAGAAGTAAATCTTTTTACTTTCTACTGGTATTAAAGTGAACAAATATAAATAGCTCGTATAAAACACCCCCTCTCCTACTTACTTCTGCTAAATGAATAAGGTTGACAGATCACTGCTCAGATAGTGGCCGCGCTCCCTCAGAAGTATGTTGCCTTTTTGCAGTACATGGGAATCCACATATCCTCAAATGCTAAATGAAGTCTGACAGATAGCCTAGAGAAACAAAGTTGGGAGTTTGCAGCTACAAGGGAGACCCTGAGTGAACAGGACATGCTATGTACACCCTGGCTAACAATCAACATATGCTTTGTTTTTCTGATGCCAACACGAGGCACATATGGCCCGCAGATAGATGGATCCTGGGACTGGTTGGAAACGCGATGCCCACTGGCTATTTTCTGCTTTAAAAATGTTGTTTCTTATTTGTTTACGCTCACATAAACAGCAATTACACGGCTGTGTGAGACACAAGATATTCTGCTGGGGAAGACTGATGCAGAATTTATGATTAATGACAAATAACAATTGAAAACCTGTAATTAATTACACTTTTTCTTTTTGGTACCAAACACACTGATCTCTGCTCTTTGGTGCTCTTGATTCATTAACAGCTAATGCATGTGTTTATGGTATGTCCTTGGAGTGAATGTTAAACATACAATATGTAATTTTGGCTGCATAGGGGTCTATCAATCAAAACAATATCAAAAAACCTAGTTGGATGACATTGTGAAGCAGTGTAGGATCATGGGAGTTGTTATCTTCTACCCATTGCCAATAAAGATATACCTGATGCATCTCAGGTGCAAATTATGTTCACGGATGAGGTGATGTATGAAAGCTTTATTCAGGCTTTGCAGCAAACGACAATGAATGATCGAGTAACCAATACAAACAGTCACACGTCCTTTGCCCCGGACGTTAAAGCACAGACGAGCAAAGCTCCACGTTAAATAGATACACACAATTAAAAGAAACATCTTGTTACCTTGAATAAATATGGATTTTTCTGGGTTTGAGCATTGTTGCAAACAATTTGGATAATGTACGTACATAATGTACGTACAGAACAAAATACATAGTTATGTGTCCAGTTAATTTTAGAAATTTTAATGAAGAATGGTCACATATCGTATCTTAAAATAGCAACAAAGAGGGTTTCAAATGCACAATTCAGCTCTATAGATGTGCTACATTTTGAAACTACTGCAGAATAAATGTATATATTTCTGAGAGCTAAATGCATTTTCTCACACTTGCTCACATAAACAAGTGACAACTACTTTTGCAGTCACACAGGACAGATCGTGGGACAGATGTAGATTTCTACAATTTGCAGTCAGACTGCTGCTATCTGCATCTCCAGCTGTGATAAGTGCTACAATTTTTAACACTGCACAAAGTGATTGGTACTGTATACTTTCATGGTGCATTATAATGTGCTCAGAACACCTTAAATTGCTCAAGAAAGGATTTCAGGCTTTGAGCATAATAAACAACCTGTTTGTCTTGCATGAGTGCAGTAGAGTATGTGAATCACCACCTTGCAATACTATAAAAGATTCACCCTCTGAAGGGTAAGCAGCATGTGCAAGTTAACAGTCTTTTTATTCCCCGTCTGCAGCCTCCCGCTCTTTGACAGTGTTTGCAGCACTAAAAAAGGTGCCCATCATTTCATGATAGGCCTGAACTCCACTTTGACTGATGATAGCTGGGTCACGTGTGGCTTTGTGCGAGTGAGGTAGGGGTTTCGTGGATGGTGACAGGCAGCATGATGAGTTAAGACGCTGCCACAGATCAGCAATGAGAGAGAAATCAGAAAATCTCCTATCCCCCCTCTCAGTAATGAGCCACACCTGTACACTGCTTTAAATACCAGAGAGAAGCTTTAAATGTCAGGCACAATTAAAGCTTATGATTCAAAGCTGCACCAATCAAATCAAGGCCCCTGAGTTCACCCGAAGTCTGAGAGAGCAAAGGCGAGATGGTGCAGAGACGCCGTGGACCGCTCCTCCATCTCCCTTACACTCCAATGGTCCTCTCAGCCCAAAGGTGATTGTAAAGTTTACTACCATTCGGCTGAACTTCTCCATCTTCCCCAACTCCAAGCCTTTATGTAAGGAAAGGTTTACTGCTGTTTCTGGTTTATGGGGTGAAAAATGATCATTGAATAGGTAGAATGTGAGAAAAACATACAGTGGGTTTTGCTTGAACACCTGCAGCGACATCAGATATAGGTGTAATCAAGAAGCTGGACAGTTTCACTATCAAGAAGAGGAGAATTGAAATGGATAATTTCAACTCTCAAAACTTATTTAATTAGGCCTGAAATAACTTTAATATCCACCAATGAACAGATCTGTTGATTCCTGACCCATAAAGTGTCAGAAAACCATGAAAAAGGTGTCAGCTAGTTTTTTTTTAGCCTTAAATTACACACAACCCAAAGATATTCAATTTACCTTAATAGAAGGGTAAGAAAAGAACCAATAGTTCACATTTTGTTTTTTCTTTTCATTTTCTCAAACGACAAATACTTTCACCTAAAATTAATTAAAACTTTGATTTCATCTTTATCTGGGGATTTAAAGACATAATCTGTGTGCATATTTGAATGACAGCAATGACCTATCACAGTTTTCCTCGTCCTGCTGGTGTGAGAACTACATAAGAACCAACATTTAATATCCTGCTGTTTTGTTAGTAGATTTTGAGACCTGAATCAGATATATAGGTTTTGTGGGTAAATATTACTGTGACTGTAAGCATGAAATACCCAGCTCCAAACACAGTTGCTTTAATTTGCCCTTCTTTTCATCCGAGACGTACAGCACAGCCTACATTTTACTGTCGAGCTGCTGACTAGGCAGTTGCGATTCGTGCAATCACACTAATTGGTCTCTTCTGCTGCTCACCTCCAGGACCTTCGTATGTTCCTACAGATAGCAAAATAAGGCTCCTAAAGAAAACACAAGCCCAGAATAATGAGATTTCTCAAATACGGTGAAATGTAACAGAAAATGGTGACATTTCACTTTGAACCTTGGCGACTGGTCTTAAACAATTCTCAGACAAAGGAGGACACATGGGCGTCATTCCAGCCATTACCGAGGGGATAATTTCATGAATTAATTCACTATGTGATGCTGGCAGAGGTCTGCTAAGTTGTAAGATTTCTTTAAAACAACTTCAGAAAATTCCCGGGCAGGCAGTCATTGAAGGCAAACATGTCACTGCTTCCCGTGAATGACAAATGAACATAGGAGGGTAAATAAAGCAATATGACCAGAGGGACCAGGAATTCTGCGGATAAGTGTCAGCTGCGGAGAAAAAATGAAGCATTTACCTGTTTGTAATCCAATTTCGTGATGGCTTTCTGTAGATATCGGACTCCTCCGTGAATGAGCTCGGTGCTGCGGCTGCTGGTGCCTGATGAGAAATTGTCTCCCCGGCACAGGGGCAGTTTTGAGATCTGACGATGGGAACCAGAGGAGCACATCAACATTTGGATACTTATTGTCCCAAATCTTTAGAATGGATCAAGATACTATTCACATATGCACAAGCCTCCACTGTAATATTCATGACTAGAACAATATTGTGAGGCCATACATATTCCATTGGCTAAAAACAACAATCATTTCCACCGGTTTGACAGCATGAATAACAAAAAGGAAATGTATGTTTAGAAAACACACTAAAAGAAAAGAAATCCAGAAACAGAGATCTAGAAAATATCTGTTTTTTAAAAAAAACATTTTTAATAAATGTATTTGAAAGAAATCATGTGATTTTTTATAGCTTTTTTAAAAACATTGAAATCACTCTTTGCTTATTAAAAGCTTCTTTGCTGTCCCAGATGGTCTGTAAATCCCAGTTTTGAAAAGAAGAAAGGAAGAATAGCAGAGGATTAGAAGAAAGGGTTTGAAAACAGCCTCTACACCGCCATTAGACAACTTGAGTAAATAAAAGGGGCAAAAAAAACACATTAAAGAAGCCTCCGACCAGCAGCATAGATAATTGATTTGGTATGTGATGGTAACCACAAGAGGATGCTCTCGCTAACAGGAGGAGAATAAAAGAGTTATCATTCATACTTTTTTTGTTTTGGTGATTGGACTAATGCCCGCAGACTTGTTATGGAGGGAAATCATCCCAATCCAAACATGCTGCTGCTCTAGACTTCACAGCAGACATGTGGAGCGCCTTACGGATCGAGCCCCAGAGAGACGGCTTGGAAGCAGCTCCATCACAATGGCAGGGAGGTTATGCAACATCAGGATGGAGAATGCCCATTTGTGGTTGCAAGCAGGGGCTGAACAAGAGTCCGCCTTGAAAAGATCCTCTGGAAAAGCTCCTTGCAAAAATCAATTGCACTTGTATTGAAAGAAAAATATGAAACTCATCAGTTTGTATGCTCATGAAACCTAGATACATTTTGGTGGTGACAATGAAAGCACTTTGACTATCATCATAGGGAAATAGTGTTTTAAAGAATTATGGCTATTTATATTGACTTAGGGATCTGTATGCGTTTTGTAAAAAGAAAAAATTACCACACCACACTATTTTAAGGGGCCAATGAGTCTTGTTTCTGTTAGCACTAAGTTGTACTGGGTGCTGTAGTGGGTAAGGTCCTCAAGACAACCAGTAGAATTGAACTAAACACCTAAGAAGTACAACACTCCAGCTCTTGTTGCGCAAACCAGTGTAAAAAGCAATTCGGAGCATCGTAAGGCCACTATCTGAGCTGCTCTGGGTAAGAGCTCATCCATGTACACTGCGTTTACCTGTTCAGCTGCCTCCACACACACGACACACAGGCCTATAGCATCCATGCAAAAGAAAACCAGTCATCCATTTCATTGTCATATGACTCCAGGGGACAGTACATATTAATAAATGTGTTTCATTATTATGCATATGTCTTTATATTCCTCATGATGGATTTAGGAAGAAAAGAGCCATGCATTTTCTGTGACAAAGCTGTCAGACACCATCAAGCAATAAAAAACAATACATCACATGCTTGTTTATATTCCACACCCAATACCATTTCAAAAATATTGTCTCTGTAGATTAATCACGAAATCTGCATGTGGCACGCACACACACACAAACACACACACGGATGAATGGGCCAGAGACATGTTAACAACAAATCTGACTAATTAGAAAACTTGGTGGTTAGTAAAGAAGATGATGGCACAGGATTATCTAAAATAAGCAATGCAGAAAAAGACAAATGACACTCTTTCTCAAGTTCACTGTGGTTGTTAGTCATGTGCTCATTACAGATGCACCATACAATCTACCATCTATTAGAAGGAGGAGGAAATATTACACAGGATGCAGCATAACCTAAGTTACCTTTCATTTTGCTCTTTATTATTTATCCCATTCAAGGTCTGGGAGCCATAGAATGAAACTGTGATACAAATATGTGATTATAATACCTCACTTTCAATATTTGTATTCATCAAACATAATCCGAGGTCTCAGTTAATTATATTTTTCTATAGAATTACTACCCTGCGATTGTACACCAACGCCAACCAGTGCAGTTTCACTTTCATTTTTTTTCACTGTGACCTTTGACCACTAAAATGGAATCAGTTAATCTGTGAGTCTAACTGAACATTTGTACCAAATTTTAAGAAATTCTGTGGAGGTGATCTGGATATATCGTGTTCAAAAGAGTGGGACAGGCAGACGGACAGATGGATGGACGGACAACACAAACACATAATGCAGATCACTAAACATTCCTCTGCAACACTTCAGACAATCTCACCTGTTTTCTTTTATATGCTGCCACTTTAGTTTGGCTATATAAAATAAAATAAAACAGCCCTATCCTCTACGGTGACAGCATTTCTATTCCCTCCTCCTGGAATGCCATGCCTCCTACTGCTCTGTGCAGATACAGCTCAGCTGGTGATCAACAGGAAAAAGGAGGCAACAGAACAGCAAAGATTTCAGTGTAAGTGATCCATTGTTAAAAAACACTGGGCCTTATTTCACACTTCAGTCGCATTCGAAATACTGTAGTTCTTCCAAGTTTTCTAAAGGTTAACTTTAGAAAAGAAAAATGATGGTGGAACATAATTAAGTATATCTACTCACATACTGTACTTGTCAAAATTTGAAATATGTTACTGCAGATCAAGTACTTTGTTAATTCAAGTACATTTTGCTGCTGATATTTATACTCTTTTACTCTTGTAGGGTTTTGAAAGCAGGAATATTTTTACATTGCTGTATTGATACATCCAATAAGTGATTTTGGCCACTAGGGGTCTTCCAATCAAAACATTAAAAAAAAATACCTCGTTTGATAACCTTGTGGTGCAGCATGGGATCATAGGAATTGATGTCTTCACCACCATTGTCAATGAAAATCTATTTGACAGAACTCAGATGCAAATCATTTTCACGGATGTGGTTATGTATTAAAGTTATATTCACGTTACGCAGCAAAGGGGAATGAATGATCGTGATCCATTACAAAATGAAACAATAATGTTTTTTGGGGGGTTTGAACATGGTTTGAAACATTTTGGATAATGTAAGTACACAAAACAAGCATAAGACAGAATAAGTGTAGTCGTTTTAATGTAGAATTGTTACATATTATATCTGAACGTAAAGGATCTGAATACTAGAAACACATCTACTGCTGTGCCTATTTGAAATTCACTTTGGTGTAAACAAAGCTCCCATCTCTATGCTACATCCACTTCTGTTGAAGAGCTCAGGACAACCTCCTCACACCACAGCTCAGATGTTGTGCTGCACGAGACTGAAGCCTCAAGGAGGAGAAATCCTCCCATCAAGCTGCTTTGAGGAGAAAGCTTTGCAGCTTAGGAAAAGCTTCATCCAATTCCCTCATTACCCATTCTAGGACACTTTAGAGCGGCCGAAATGGAGTTTCAGCAAATTCCAGCACAAAAACAAATCTGCCACAGAGTGCCCACTATTAGTGATCGCTCTCGACCATGTCTGTAGCTGCAAAATCTACTCACACCTCAAACTATTTAGATAAGAGACAAACAAACACATTCAAAATGAAAAAATCTAAGCCTACTATTGAAATTAAATCAATACATTTATAAGTGATCTATAAAAGCCCACCAAAGCCTGGGGCAATGACAAGATATTTCAGAGTCCTTAAGCTCCACATTCATAACTATTACAAAGAGATGCACTTCACACTCTTTGGCGTCCATGTCAGCCTTTTATAATTCAGATATGTTATTAATCAAAGAGAATGACGGAGAAACTAATGGTTTGTCTGATTTTCACTGGGGCACGATCCAGCCAGCAATTGATTGTGGCATCAAGGACACCTGCAGCTTCAGAATACATTTTCACTTTCAGGAGGAGCGAGAAGAAAGAAGAAGGGAAAAAAACAGCACCACGAGAAAATATTGCCCCACCACATGAATATGCAGGGACTTGATACCAGCAGTGTCATTGCTAATGTTGCTGCCAATTACAGAGCATGTCATGACACTGTGATTCATGAATATTCATCGTTGACTGATATAGACGGCAGCAGTATGCAGAGGCCTCCATTCCCTTTTTACTGTCTCATTGTGAATGGTGGACAGGTACCTCCATCATGCCATGGAGGCGCCTTCCAGCTGCAAGACAAGCTGTTCCATAAGGCATTGCTAGTTAACAGTGTGTTATATAAAGGTGTATAAAAGTGATGAAGTGCTCCCTGGCTCTAAAGAGCAGGCATTAAAGCATATTAAGTAGACATTTAAGCTTGTAAAGTGGGAATCTAGAAATGGAAAGAAGACACTGAGCAAAGGGATGCCTTCAGGGTCGGGCTGTTCAATTCCCAGAAAGTTTGATACCTGCTGGTGCTTGGAAATGAAATGAGGTTTGTGGGAGCGAGTGGCCAGCGGGTTTCACAAACTACCTACAATTAAAGTAGGGTTGGAACAACTCCAAACACCATTTCTCCAGTTTCAGAAAAAAGTGTAAATGAAACAAATAAAATTATGCAAAGTAACACGTGGATCAACAATTAGGCCTTTAGCTCATAATTTGATGTGATGTATCGACACCAATTAGCCACAAGTTTCCTCACAAGCTCCGGTCTGGCATGCAACATGGTAAAAGCTTAGATGAAGACACACAGACGACATAAAACCTTTCTTTTTTTTTACTTATTGCACGACCTGGACCAGACGCAACATACAAAACGATTCTAAACACGACATTACAAGAAAAAGCAGCGTTCAAAATCTAACCTGACTATGGCTGATATATAAAAGCAGTGGAGTACAGGAGTACAATATTTCCCTCTGACATGTAGTGGGTTGTGAGTTGAAATACACATATAGTGTAGGCTTACCTCAAATTTTTACTTCAGTATAGTACTTGAGTATTTGTCACATTGATTGCTAAACAGTGAGACCATTTTGTATCTTATCACACTCATAACTTTAATAAATGCAG